GGCCAGAGCTGCGCCAGCTCCCCTCGTCCTCGCCTCCCCGACACCCCACTCTCCCACCAGGCTGGGCAAGAGCAGCCTGTGGTGGCGGGGGGTGCTGGGGCGAGCACCCCGGGGAAGGCGCTTTGGCCCCACGAGGCACCGGGGCTCACAGGCCGTGGGGCAGGTGGGAGGTGGGAGGTGGGGGGTCCTGGCGGAGCTCGGTGGCGGTAGGACCTCCAGGGACCCCCGGGGGAGGTGGCGATGGCGGCTTGTGCAAGGCGGGCTCACCCCGCGCCCCCCCAGCGCTGCTGCTCTCACACAGGCCCGGGCCACCCCGAAGGGCGGTGGTGTCAGAGGGGGTCAGGTCTTCTGGCTGGGGGTGGGTGGGAGGCGCTCGGGGCTCGGAAGAGCAACGGCACCTTCTCACCCATCCTACTCACCGGCGCTTTCGGGAGAGGAGGCTGCCAGCGACCGGCAGCTTCCCCGCGCACCGTGGCCATCGGGCTGGACTCGGTCTGCCCTGCCGGGTGCTTCACTTCCCCAGATGTTGTCCAGCTGTTCCAGCGGGGCTGTCCTCCCCCCAGCACCGTGCCAACCCAGCTGAGCAGCTTCAGGGATGGCTGCAGCCTTGCTCACGGCGTTCCTCGGGGCTCACTGCAGGGTGGGTGATGGTTCGCCCTTTCCAGAGAGCTCTGCCTGAAGGTGCCTTTCATCTGGCGGGTCCTGTCAGCTGCTCCAGTGGAGCTGGACCCCAAGAAGCCAGCTCCCGGTGTTGCCAGACCCCTGTGCCAGGCTCATCCTGCTGCTGATGGGCTCCATCAATAATCCATGTTCCTGCGGCCTCTTTCCTGCTTGAGGAAACCCTGCGTCCCTCAAAAGCATTCACTGCCTGAAATAAGGCATCTTCCCCAACCTCCTTCAAATTTGGGGGTCAGATAGGAGATGCCCTGAGGCAGCTGGGGGCTTGTCACAGGCAGGCAGCACCTGGTGACAAGAACTTTGGGGCACAGAGGAAGAGGAGGGGGTCTCCATGCATCTCACAACCCCAACCTGCTGTGCCCTGTGCCACACTCCTGCCTGCATCCCCCTGGGCATCACGGCTGGCTCCGGCTGTTTGCCAGAGTGCTCCTGCAGCCCCCAGCATTGCCTGACTGGGAGCACTGTGGGGGCATCGAGGGGTGCCCTGCTCCTGCTCGGGGAGAGCAGCCTCAGGACTGGCTGTGGGGGGCTGCAGGGGGGGCAGCACTCTCCAGCATCGCCCTCCCACCGCATGTGTCCCCATGAGCACCCTGCTGTGCTGGGCTGCGGTGAGCCCCAGGACCTGCCGTGGCACCAGCAGCTTCCCGCGCTGGAGCAGCCTGAGGTTTCTGGGCTGTCAGGGGGTGTCCTTCTCCCACGGCCCCCAAAACGCTGGCCCTGCGGGATTTCAGCAGTCGGCTTCAAATAGGAAACAAATCTCTCCCGTGGTTTGGGAAAAGACAACTGATCTCCGAGGGGACTGCATCTCCTGCCAAAAAAAGGCCTGCCTGCTGCAAAAGCCTTTGATTCCCCCGCGCCTCCGTGCTTTCTGCAGAGGGAGTCAGCAAACCTGGCTCTTACTTTTACTGAAATCTCTGAATTTAGTATACAGGGAAGGAAGGGGGGTGGTGAGAGAACAGACTCTAAAGCACCACGGCTGCCGGAGCCCACCCCGTGCATCACTGCAGGAGGATGAAGCCATGGGCAGCACTGGGGGCAGCAGCAGGCCGGGTGGGCTCCGGGGCTCCGGGATGGGAATTAAAATATAGTGGTGGCTGGGTGCTGCAGGCACGGTGGGCTCATGGCCGGCTGCTTTTGGCAGCATTCTTGGAGGTCAGGAGCTGTGGGCACCCCTGATGCATGGGTTGGGAGCTCGGCTTGGAGCTGGCATTGCCTCTGCCTGCCCAGCCTGGGCCCCCTGCTCCAGGTGACATCCCTGCCCAGGTGACCTCCCAGGCTCCTTCCCTTCCTCAAGGTTTTAGGGGCTAGCAAGTTGTCCCCCAACAGGCTGCTCTGCACCCCAGATCGGAGGGAACAGGGATGGGCGGCACAAGCAGGCTCATGCCCTTGCTTGCCCATGCAGCACTGGCATTGCCCATGGGGACAGTCCCTGTCTCGCCTTGCAGCCCACAGACCCAGTGGCTTTTCTCTTTGCTTTTCCAGGTGCTGAGGGCTCTGCCAGGGCAGCACGACCCCCCTCCTGCTGACACCACGCCGCGCCACCCCCCACCACCCAATGCCTGGGGACTGCCTGCCCTCACCTTGACGGGTGGCAGTGGGTGAGACGGGGTGGCGCGGGTCCCCTGGCCAGCGCCAGCACACCCCATGGCGGTCCCCTTGGCCGCCTGGCTGTGGCTGATGCGCATGGTCACCTGCCTGGCCGCTGGGCACGGCATGGCTGGCAAAAAGGAGATCAGCATGGATGGGGACCTGGTGATCGGGGGCCTCTTCCCTGTCCATGAGAAAGGAGTGGGGAGCGAAGACTGCGGCAAGATCAACGAGCACCGGGGCATCCAGCGCCTGGAGGCCATGCTCTTCGCTCTGGACGAGATCAACAAGGACGGGAGCATCCTGCCAGGGGTGAAGCTGGGCGCCCACATTCTTGACACCTGCTCCAAGGACACCTATGCCCTCGAGCAGTCCCTCGACTTTGTCCGTGCCTCCCTCACCAGGGTGGACGGCTCTGAGCACATCTGCCCTGACGGCTCCTACGCCGTCCACGACGACGTGCCCACTGCCATCACTGGTGTCATCGGGGGCTCCTACAGTGACGTTTCCATCCAGGTACCCACCAGACTACCCTCCAGACAAGAGGGGCTCAGATGGGGCTGGGGGGTTGGTTGTCAGAAATGGCATGGGGGCAGGCAAAACTCCCAATGTAGCAGTGCGATGGTGCCACTGCCAGTGTGGCACAGGGATGCTCTCGTGTCCCTCGCAGTGATGTTTTGCCCCTTTCTGCAATGGTAAGGGAATGTCAGCCTGGCAACTGAGAGAGCCAACTCTCTGCTACTGGGGAGGGGCTGCAGCTCTGATGGTGGCCAGGGTTCCTTTGGGGGCTGTGGGGAGCCCCCCACCTGCCATAAGCCATGTGAGCTGAGCCAGTGGATCCATCCCACAAAGG